ATTGCACTTTCTGCGGATGTTGTTGTATACCTTTTCTAAGAAACATGGCAGAACGAGTCCTTGAGAATGCAGTCGGAGCTCACATGTTTGAAACCGACTATCAAAGACTAACAGGACAAGACCCAGACCACAATGGTCCTTATGGCGACGTGAAGATTGTTGACACTCATGTATGATTCCAGTGTTCAGAAAATCTGTTTGAAGTGACATTGTGATGACAAACTTGTGATGTGTTAACTTTGATAAACAGGAGGGAAATGTAAATAGAATTTATAGTTAGTTACCAAAGTAGTGTTAAACCATAAACTGTTATCTAAGTCATGGTCTGGTTGACAGGAGTAGGTACTCCTAGAAAGGTTTTTACGATGTAGGTCCATAAAGGATGAGGTCTGTTTCTCATCTCAAGTATGGAAATTGCGTGAAACTTTGCCCTAAGAGTAAAACGTAAAGAAAAAACAACTGCTCAGTACTTCTCAATAAAAGGAGCTACAGTCCTCATACACTTTGGGACTTAGGTGAGCCAGCTCTTCTAAGAGCAGAGCGAAGCTGTTGGTCTTTCTGCTCCCCCTCGCAGCGAGTAAAAACTACAACATTGTCAGGTGTGGTTCTTTTCAGGTCATTCTATCTGTGGCAGTTAGATGACAATAGTGGTGGCTGAATAACGTAATTTTCGGCACCAACACCGACTCACTATGGATTGTATTTCAAGAATAAAACATTTCTCAAAACTGGACTTCCGGTCCAAACAGAAGGTGATAAGTGATGGAAGACCAACGTCAGAGATAAAAGGTTTGCTTCAAAAACTATGGGACAGAAGAGTCATTCTTTTTAAATGGAGTGGTACAAACAAAAAGACTGGCACACTGGCTGTGTGGCTGTCCTGCAAGAAACCACCTTTACTGCTTTCCTTGCCTTTTATTCTCATCGTGTGATAATGTCTCGGCTAACTCGGGATACTGTGACCTGAAAAATTTGAAAAGAAGCCTCAGCAGACATGAAGATCAGCCATGCACATTCAAAACCAGATTTCTTTAAAAAACGAACGGAAATTCAAGGATCGATTTGGCATTGGATGAGCAACGTAGACTAAACAACTGCCCAGTATTTGTGAAACTTTCTCAATAAAAGGAGCTGTAGTCCTCATACACTTTGAGACTTAGGTGAGCCAACTCTGCGAAGCTGTTGGTCTCTCTGCTCCCCCTAGCAGCGAGTAAAAAGTACAACGTTGTCAGGTGTGGTTCTTTTCAGGTCATTCTATCTGCGGCAGTTAGATGACAACAGTGGTGACTGAATAACGTAATTTTCGGCACCAACAACAGGCCATAAAGTTGACATCTCCAACATGGAAGGGTGCAACATATACTTCTGATATGCTAATTGGTGCAGCTAAACTGGTTGAAAACAGCATGGAGCACAGAATAAGATCTGTCACAGACCATGACATGTTTGACAATGACTATATGGTGAGAGGCCTAGATGTAGGTGTAAACAAGCACAGTGTCAAACACAGAGAACCAAGATAGAAAGGGAAACAGACATAGATCTAATAATGTTTGTAGGAAATGTGGTGAACAAGGCCACTGGGCAAAGGAGTGCAGGACAGGTAATCAAAGTAGGAATGGTACACAGTAAATTTGGAAGTGTTAATTCAACTCCTAGAGAGTTGAATTCAACACTTTCAAAGTGTCTATATTGGTCCACTCTAGATTGAGTTAAAACAACACTTTTGAAAGAGTTAAACATGACAGAGTTGAAAGAACACTCTGAGTTGATGAAATTTAACACATATGAGTGCTGAATCCTGGTCTGATAAATAGGGATGGTGTTCATCCCACCCTGGATGGAGCTTCTCTCCTTTCCAGAAATCTGACAAAGTTGATTAAATCCCAAACATGACAATTAGGAAATTACCAAATTCATGCTCTGATTTCTTAGCTGAATTTGCAGATTTTTTGTCAGAATTAGTTCTCTGTTCTGACAGAATTATCATAGTCGGCGATTTTAACATCCACATAGATGTAGCCAATGACAGTCTGAGCTCATCCTTTAAAGCTCTGCTCGACTCAATTGGCTTCAAACAACAGGTTAACAAACCTAC